TTAAAATAGCAGCAGCATCACTACCAACGGCATCCACAGCCATACAGTATGAAAAACATTTAGCCGAGCACAAGGAGGGCTTTTTCCTCTGTACTCCCTTTCAAAAATGAAGGAAACTGGTACTTAAATTCCTCCAGCCTCTTCATTCCCCAAAACACTCAGAGGGAGATGGAAACCATGTACTATTCTAGCATGCAAAATAACAGTCTGCTACTCTGTTCTAAGCTCTTAACTTTACCACAAGGTAAGCAGTAGCAGCATGGACATAATTTCGATACGTTGCAAATTCATACTATAGTGTGTTCAAATACCTAACCTCCTAAATACAACAACTATAAGCTCTGTTCTGCTCAGGTCTGCCTCTGTGCATGGAGATTTGATCCATTTTAAACTGTCATCAAGTATCTTTTATCATTACTGTACTTGAAATGCACTTGATTCTTTTCAACAAATTTCTTTGATAGCAACAAGTGGCTGCACAAGGTAGAGACAAAACAGTCTCATGTTAAAGTTATATGCACTATAACTATAAAATGAGTTATAAAGTATCTAATTCATGAGTTTATATAAAATTCTATACATTTTCTTAGCCATACTGTGCCCCTCTCTCTGCCTCTCTCTCTCTCTCCATGTATATGTATTAAGAGAGTTAAGTTTTAAAGAAAACTTCTGGTTTAGAGGCAACACAGGGAACACACCAATAATAAACAAGCATGGAAAGACGGAAGTATGAACTATCCCCACAGCAGTTAATTTAAAGGCAGAGTTTATGACCAAATAGTGACCTAAAATGAACATAAAGTGCTTTAAGATACACAATACTTGAAAGGCCTGGAGAAAATGAGAACATTGAAATCAGAAAAAAAGAATTCTTATGAATTGAACTACCTGTACAGCTCAAATGAAAATACGAAACTACCAGCACACTTAACGTACACTTTTAGGTCATTTTATTATGGCCAAAAATATGAAGATATAAGCTAAAATGTACTTATCAGAAATCAATATATATTTATCAGAAATTACAATGTGTGCTAACACTAGCTATATACAGAGTAACCTACCTTACTATGGGATGCTTTCATGAAATAATCTGGTTCTCTTTACTTTTGAGAGCCACGTATTAAATTAGAAACACTATTTAACTAATGCATATTATAATTCTAAGTTACTAGGTCTCTAATGAACCTTTCACAGGAAAGCGGAACAACAGAACATCACTAACAAGCTAAAAATTATCACACTGATCATTTTTCCCATGCAAACAATTAGTAATTACCTATTAAGAGTTAACAAGGCCTTTCTGAACTCTTCAACTTCATTGTGGGTTTTTATAACCTCAGATTTATGAGCGTTTAATCTATCCTTGAGATGCTGCTGCTCCTCCACAATTTCATTCACCCTTTTTAGAAGCTTCTCCTCATCCTGCATAGAAATATTTACATTGTTAATCTTTTACCAAAAAGTTTAACGTTAAACCTCTATTAAACAGAAAAGAGGGTTAAAGTTTTCATCTCTTACAGTACATTAAAGTGTTATAGCACAAAATCTGAAATGCACATAGGAAGATTCAGATGTTCTGTATACATAGCATGGCCAACTCCACATTTGTGACTGTTCCAGTCTAAACTCTAAAGACAGGAATACCAAGACTATTACGATCTGTAGACTACTCCCTTTTCCTCAATTATTCCCTTAGCATTGCAAGAAGGAGCCTATCTGCTGTACTTCTACAACATGTTTAGCAACACCTTTAAAAAAAAAAATGAAATCCTTTAAAAAGTATTGTTCCTTAGAAATAAATCCACAGGTAATCTGCAAAGAATAATCTGCAGAGGTACTCTAGAAACTAAAGTCTTCCTGTATCTATATATTCCACACCACTGCTAAATTGCTAGAAATTAAGTGTTAAAATATAGTACATCTAATATATGCATGAAGACACAGTACACAGAGACAATTATTATCGCAAACTAATCAGGACTTATTGCTGCTGCAGCATCAGAACAAAGTATCTCCAGAATTAGAATCACATAATCCTTCTCCAGGGCAAAATTTCTGATCTTCCTCAAAGTCTTATTTCAATGGAATTATACGCACATGCATCAAGTCAGACAACTGTTTTTGTGCATCAGTGAATCAGGGCCATTTTTTCCCCCCTCAGTATCGGCAAAACATATCTTCTTATGTATTAAATATATATTTGTTTATTTAAATGTTTTTAACATACAATAGCAGAGTTCAAGTGATGCATGCGTTTTTTCCCCTGCTCTGGAGCAGTTTTACATTTCATTTCCCTTTTCTTTATTCAAAGCACTGTTACACATCTTTTCTCCTTCACTTTCCAGTGCATCATGAGCATAACTTATTTAACAGGCAACATTAATATAATGGAAATTAATTATGAATATGTATTTTTATTACATCTAGTCAACATGTTCTTTCTTAAATTACTTCCGCAAGATCACACTATGAAGGAGAAATCCATATGTATTACTTCAGTTAAAAATCTAGTTCGTGTTCACAGTCAATTATTTTAAGCCACTTAATATTTGTGAAGCACCTTGAAAAGCACCAGAGTTGCTTACTATTACTCATAAAGCCTTCTAAAAACTCAGCTATGTGCTATTAGTTTTATCTGTAGTCATATGCTGCCTTTTCATATAAGCTAGGAGCAACATAATACTGTATATACAGTAATATCAAATTTCCCGATTTCTGTATTTTTTATTAAAATAATTAATATGACAGTAGAGGTTATTTCAAGGTTATTTCAAGCAACAATATGCAACTGAATTTTTTAAACATAAAGTCATTTAGAATAATATATATGTATATATGTATATATACATGTGTGTGCGCACGCGCACATTCTGGTTACCTTCTGCAGCCTGACAATCTCAGCTTCATCTTTATGGATGGTCTCCCTCAACATGCTGACTGCATTCGTTAATTTTTGTAGATGACCATGACTATATTCAAGCTGAATGCTTAGTCTCGTCTTCTGGTTTTCAAACTCCAGTCTAGTCAAAATACACTATTTCAAACCAACACTTACAGACTGGTACTAGTAGGTATTAAAAGACACATTTTCACTTTTACTATTTAGTGTATATATATATATACACACTATATAAAATATATATATATTTATATCAACAAAAATATCTTCTACTTGAACACAAGAATTTGTATACATTTGGATCATTGATTCCACTACACAGCATCTTGCGGACATGCTGGAAATTAGAAAAAAATACCGTGATAATCAATTCAACAAACATCACATAAACAGATAATATGGTCACATCCAATAAGGAAAGTAACACAAAAGTTTCAAGTTTCTCGTATATGGGATGTATTTGTAAGTGATGCAGAGAGGAGCTGGGAAAAGACTACACGAACGTTGTATATTTATTCCATGCCTGGGATCCCTACTCAGTAAGCCTCCTAAGCAGCTGACGTATATGTTTATCTGAAAACTGTGAGGAATCTCAGCTGGGAGGTGGCAATTAACAACCAAGAGACCAGAGCTTTTTAAGCCGCGTTCAGCTTTGCTCACCATCTCTCAGCCAAGAAGTGTATTTGTTTATAACAGTTACAATGGCAGAAGCTACTTCACATTCTGCTGTGAGAACAGAAGGAAATAAAATTCAGGGGCTGTTTACAGAAAGGTTTCCTCACAGCTGCTACTTTCTGCCTCTCAGCTTGGAGCTCCTGGGTGATTTACCATTAGTGAGTTCTGCATCCGAGCTGTTGTCCATGCAAAACGGCTGGCACAGCACTATCTCCAAGCTCTTTAAACGTAGGCAAAAAAAAAAAAAAAAAAAAAAAACCACACTGCAGCATGGGCTTACAGGACTAATGTTGGCAAGTTAGGGCCAAGAAGCGCAGTCCCAGGCCACATGTGCAACATAGCATCTAGACATGCAAATGCTATTCCCTTCATTGTTTTGTTACTAATTTTTCCACCTCACCATCCTCCAGTTCTTGCAAACATAAATAAACGATCAAACCACTTCTGCCAAGAGGTGTCTAAACTTCAACTGAACGCGCTGTACTCTACTACTTCATTGTAGCCCTAGCCAACCCATACATTTGCCCAAATTTCTGAAACACAGTCAGAGAGTCGCTTTGTAAGCTGAAGGGACCGCTGAAAAGAAAATGGAGTTCAGTGCTAGGAATCAAATTGGTCATGTAGAAAAACTCTATTTTCTGTAAAGAATGCCAGGAAATCCATGAACTATCATCTGCCTGAAAACTCCTGCACTACACAAGACAGTTCATTTTAATGTTCTTGTTCTTTAAGATATACATTTGTGGTCCTGTGACATATGTCTCCGAGCGGAATACCAGCTGGACGTTATGTGTGAGAAAACTAAGATTCCACTTTCCTTAACGGTGTCTTCCTATACCAAAATCACTATACCTTACGTTCACTTCTTTAAGACTCATGACCATGAGTCATCCTCATTCCCATCATCCTCAACTTGTGATAGAGCCATTCCTCAGCGTGGATTTTAGAAAAGTGTTCTTTACCGTTTTATCTTTCTACAACAGTACTACCAAAATAACACATATTACCCTATCAAGTTGGCTGCAAAATGCCACTGTGGACATGTGATGACTGTATGTAAATACAAAGAACAGCTAACTGTTAACAAACAACTGCAACTCCTGTTAACCTAATTCTTGCACTGATAACATGACCTTTTATAGTCATCTAGGTTTTTGTAGTATTTCCTGTGATGAGGTTATTCATTTACCAGTGTGCCCAGTCTAATACAATCCACGTCCCCTTTTTACTTTTCAATTACAAACACCACCTTTTCCTATCAATCTCCTCTTGTTGCCTCACATGTTCTTGTTCATACACACGAATATTTTCTATACCAATCTCTTCACAGAATTCCTGGAAAACAGCATCTTCAGCCTTGGAGTAAAGAGAAGACAAACCAAAATGTTGATACTGTTTTGCAACTCACAAAATCAAACATTTAGACAAACATTTCATGCTACAAGCTAGAAGTTCAAGTTACTTCAGAGAAACAACAGACTTCAACTCCTAAGAAAGGATCAGGACTTGACATTTGCAAATTATACCTTCAGTACAAATGCCAGATTTCAGGCATTACGATCTGCAAAAGAAGGTAACTCCCATCCAGGCCCTTCTTGACAGCACCTGGTGATTCCAAAGACAATTACAGCCATTACAGCGTAACCAGCTTCCCTGGTTTTATCTGTGGATCCCATTTACGTGGGGAAAGAAGGCTGGATGGTATACAAGACTAACCCACCCACTGCCAGCTTTTTTTAGTGTAGCTCAGTTGCTCATCTTAATTCTTTCACATGATTTGGGGGGGTTCACTGATGGAGCATTTCAGTGCAGACATTGAACGGGTCCTGCCACGACTGCAAAAAGAATGATTTTCAGAAGGACAGTTAACCACACAGACAGTGTCTGCCTGGAGGATGCGTTGATTACTGAGAGTTTTGCAAATCTTGCAGGTATATACAGAGCTTAATATTGGGCTTCGTGTTACGTACATGCTGTCACAGACTCGCCTGAGCCAGGATGACTTCATGACAAAAGAAGGGGAAGGTCTAGTCATGCAATGTAACTCTCTTTCCAAGAAGAGGAAAGACGCTGTGACCACAGTTTCTTACAGAAAACTTAAGACACTAGAGACTGACAAAGAATAAGCTGAGACTTTGCAATTTTACCCTCATGTCATGAAAGAGCTGGAAAATGTTCTTCTGTGACTTGATCCTAGCCAAAGTTTGCAATAGGATCTCTAAAGCTGTGAGCTTCAATGGATTATCCTTGTTCAATACTAACAGTCATCTTTATTAGCAGAAGGGGGAGAGGCAAAGTCTTCCCCAAACTAAAAAATTTTCCATTTTGAATGTACCCATAGTATATAATATTAGGCAAAACTTCATCTAAATCAAAAATCTAAGAGGTAAATGCACTTGGTTAGTTGGGTTTATGCTTGGCAACAAAAGTCACAACATTTTGATTTCAAGGAATTCGATTTGCAAACCTTTACATTTGGACGTTAGTATATGTGTGAGTGTATTTCTGTTCACCATTACCTCAGTTGGGAGAAAGGTACAGAACGTGGGAAGATTGCTGGAATAATTTATGACCCTTGTCTACAAAGTAGCTTACAAAGTTAAAAAGTTGTCCAAGCTCTCAGAGCTGCTATACTCAGAAAGATGTTTCTATAAGACACGTGTAATGACAAAAGCTCTCACGATATCAGAGAAAGCACTACCTCATTAATTTTTTTCTGAAATTCTTCTATTTTTTCTTTTCTTTGTAATACTCCTTCTTTCAGCATATCATACTGAGAGTTGATATTTATCAGTTCACTTTCCAGTTTAGATTTTTCCTAGATAGAAAGAAAGGAAAAAGAAGATAATTTTTCTAAACAAGATGGACAACTTTCTAGGCATTACTAGACAGTTCTGGTCCAGATCATCTGTATTTTTCCGATTAAGAATGTTAATTTTTTTTCTTTTCAAATGCCACTTATCCACACATACTGCTGATTTGCATGCAACAGTTACAATTTTTATGAGTGGAAAGGCAAACTGCATTTAAAGTACATTTTTACTTATAGACTTTTGAAGGTTACTAAATGGTAGACCAAGCTTACTGGAAATTCAAGTTAATTTAAAGAATAAAATACAAAAAGCCTCATTATTTAAAATTATTTCATTGTCTTGTTTTTTATATTTTATATTTTATGTCTTTTATATTTATTATTTATATTTTATTCTTCAGTCATAACCACTGTATGTAAAACCTAAACTGAATTTAAAAATCACATAAGGAAGTAATAGTTACTTCACTTGTAATCATAGCTTAGGTCAAGAAATACAATGATTAAGCATGAAAATTATAAAGGCTTAATACTATACCTTGTAGAAATTAGCAAGGTGTTTCTTTCTAATAAGTTCTAATTCGCTCTGTGAATATTTAAGTCGCGTTTGAGTTCCCTGGCATTGAGCTTGCAGCTGCTTCAAATCAGTCTCCTTACGTTTGATCTTCATTAAGTCCTAGAAAATATTAAAATGGGAGAAGACAAAAAGTATTTTAAATAGAAGTTGACTTATTTGGAAATTACTCATTTTTTAGATTCATGCACTATACAAGGTTAGCCTCACTGACATAAGCCATGATCAAAGTAAACGTTGATGGCACTGGTCATATTCAATAGCAGTTTTAAACAGATTTATCAGTCAAGAAAGCACACCCTTGCAAACGCCTACGCTACCCCTACCCCCCCAGTAACTAGAGGTATGGCAAATCAGTTTACACTGACAGGTTTTTGTCTGTGTAGGTATTTTCATGTTGACCGAATATATCAGTTTTTTGCTAAAAGCCTTCAGGTATTCAGAACCACAGCTTTCTGTTTAATGTAACCTATATTAACAATGCTGGACTTGTTCTCTGCCTCTGTGATAACTGAACCAACCCACCAGCTGAGGGCAGAGACCCACAGTGTGTTACCCTTAACTAAAAGAGGATAAATAGCTACTGTGTATTCCCTACTTCTTCTAGAAGTTTTGGAAGTCATCCTGATCTTCCCCACAGCTGAATTAAATATAAAAAAATGAAAGACTTTAAACCAAAACAGATTATTTCCTCACCATCTTCCTATAGGCAATTTTCATTCCTTTTTGCCTTTAGCAGTTAAGTGCTTTTTAACAGACCTACCTTTAACTCATTAATCAATCTATCTCTTCTTTCTTTCATTTTATTCATTTCTTTATCATCCCAACATCTAGCTTTAAATCTTAAATCACTTGATCCTCCAGAAATCACTCCAGATTTCAAAAATAAAGTTCCATCAAGGGCAACCGTCTGGAGGGGGGAAAGGAAAAAACAAACAAACAAACAAAAAAAACCTTAAACAACACAAAACAGCAGAAATTGGGCATCCAAAATATCCCAGAACCAGTGCACTAAGATATGCTAGTTAAACAAACAACAACCACATTTTAGTTGGACTCTATTTTTTAGCATTATTATAACAAATCAGAATAGGAAATGAAATTATATTATTTCCTTGTATTTAGAGAACTATTACGTGACATTTGAGTATATATTGGCAATGTGGAAAGTTACAGCTGGCTGGGTAGAGTAAATCAAGCAAGGTGATAAGTAAGTGCATGAAAGGACATTATGGCTATGACAGTAACAGAGATAAGCATAAGCAGAAACAACTGCAGAAAGAAATAGAGTCCTCAAAGCAGAGTGCATCTACAACTCCCAAGATTCTGTCAGGCATTCAAAGAATTTTTGGAAGCATTTCTTCACAGAAAAGCTGGTATGATAATGTTTGTATTTTTAAACAAGGCAGGATTAAAATCAGGACTATTCATCTTTCCTCCTTCTTCCTATCATCAGTAGAGGGCCTTGTCAGGGAACATGTTTAGACACTACCTATAACAATCTTTTCTAATTTACCTTCTTTTCCCAGGAAATCATTTAAAAGTAGTACCATATACAGCAAAACATAAGCATGTGAAATATCCAGGGATTTATTTATGTGGGAGTAGACTGGACAGCACAGTACCATTCTGGTACTGTTTATCTGCCATATTTTGCAGGATGTTTATGGAAGAATTATTTAAATAGCATGAGATAGGTAATTGCACTGAAAAACACAGGCAACAAAATTCAGCTTCTTACTTTCAACCTCACTGGTCCATCAAATGCTATTTGTCTTGCTTCTTTAACTGTTTCACAGACCAGGCCATTCCCACTCACAAACTGAATCACTTTCTTCAGTGGAGGAAATGGAGTTTGTACAACATCTACCATCATTTTTGCTCCTTTTATCTCTCTCAATTTTTCATTGATTGGTTTAACCTGTAAAACAAGTGGGCAGTGTTTAGAATTGGCTGGAACCATGAGACGCCAGTCAGTCAGTAGTGTAGCATACAGGGCGAATGATGTGTCAGTCTCTAAGGGGTTACGCAGAGGCACAGCACTCTCTTACCACGTATGTATGTACGTACCGGTAACCTAAGATGCACAGGCAGGTCTCCTTCACATCAGAACAGCACATGGTTAAGTAGCACCAAAAATCATAAATCTGTCCTGTAATGTTCTAGCACAACCTCCCTACTCTCTTATATGATCAGATTATTCCAAATTCATTAGAACATACAGTCTTTCAAGCTGAAAAACACACCAGAGTTATCTATACTACCAAGAAGTATTGCATAGTAACCTCTAATACAGTTTTCAACAGGCTGAATGTAGTATCTAAAATTCTGGTCACAAACATTAGAGATCACACATGTCCTCTTCAGATAAAACTGATCTTTGCGTTCTAACTTTCTCAGAAACTCAATCATCTGAGTAAAAACCATGTCACAATAGCAAAGCATGTCCAATTCCGAGTAGCCTGGGCAACAGGATATATGAATCTATAGAATGGCTCTCTCAATTGCTGCAAAACTAAAAATAGATCCATTTTCCATATTCTGTGTACACTGTAGCCCTTAAATACGTATCACTTATTCTACTGTTTCCAATATAAAGAGGCACAAAGTAATGTGATCACCTAAATATACAGGCAGAAGAAGGGTTTCAGCTTTAACAATAGCATGAAATATTTTAAGCTCCCAAATCATGTTTGTGTGCCTTAATACTTCACTTATTTTAGTTAAGCTTAAATCAAGCCAGTATCAAGATTTACAACTGTATTAACTTGCTGATGACAGGAAAAAGAAAAACGTACTTACATCAAGGTAATCCAAAGCAAGGAAAGTTTCAGGTTCAGCTCTTTCTTGTTTTAGGAACCGAATGCAATCCCTTGCTGTTTTTTCGGTGGCAACAACAATAGCAGTCATGTATTTGCTGAACACTTTGGTAACAGCAAGCTGATATTTTTTATGAATAGGATGGCACAGGTCAAGCAGTCTTCCAAACTGAAGATAAATAATAAATAAAAAAATTAATAATTAATTGTTATATAATTAATTACATTCTTATATATTTAATTATTATATAATTATAAAATGAATAATAAAATCTTATTTTAGATAACAAATATTAACAAGACACTGAAGTGGCAGGAATAAAACGTGTTGCGTATCTACCAGTTGTGCTCTCTTACAATGGCTGTAGATTAGAAAAATAAAAATTGGAGCAGAGTGATCAGTACATGTAGCAAAGTACACTTTCAAAATCTGAAGAGATTTAAATTTTCCCTAAAATTAGTTACGTGCTCTTTAACAATATCTCACCCACAATCTTTGGCGTACACTTCTAGAAGTGTAACAGAGTGACAATACTAAGACTGGCTGATTTATTTATTTCTTTCCTGATGAGAAAGAAATAAAATAAAGTCTTTGAACAAAGATAAGGTCTGAAGTAAACAGAAACAGTTAACTGGAAAACAGCAGCAAGAAAGGCATTGCTGCCAGTTCCAGTTTCACTTCCCAAAGCAAGTATCTGCTCACATTAGTAGCATGAAAAGAGTCAATGCTGCTTTTCCTTGCAGAACATAGTACAAATAATCAAGATTATTTTGCCATATATTAACATCAGTAGTAGACAAAACTTGTTTTGCAAAAAGCCTGAAACTTAATTGCTGCATTGATAGCTGCTTATTACTTCACACACACACACACACACACACACACAAATCGCACTTGAGTTTAAACACTGTAAAAAAATTTTCAAACAGATTTATTTACATTGTTGCAAGCAATAAATTGCTGGCATCTCAGTTCAGTTTAATAATAAGCTTCGCTATTTAGGTATTTAGTGATTTGTAGCAATTTAAGAAAAATGAAGTAATTTTAAGCAAGCATTTTCGTTTGGAAAAAAAAAAAAAAAAAAAAAGTCCAGTTAAACTGTCCCAACTTACTTGTGAACAAGTTTGCAGACTTACTCTACGATGTTTGAGCTATGTGAGATTCCCTAATTAATTTCAGGTGTATACAAATATCGGCAGCCCAGCTGAATGTGGGCTGAAAGTTATCTTACCAATTAAAACTAACAAAGTCAGAATGAAGTTTTGAAAATTAACTGCAAAAATTGTAATCAGCTGCAAAATTTACTTTGCTAATCAGGCAAACCCATGAAAAGACAGGCATGTCACTCACACTGCAGGACCCACATCGCTGCATGGCTATTCCAGGACTAGGAAGGTTCACGGAGAGTTAGGAATCTGTTACAAGAATCTTTCAACAGAAGAAGAGAAACTTGAAAATGGATGTAAGAACTAAGCATGTAGACGCAGTAAGCTATTTGTTGCATATGAAATCCAAAAGACTGTCACTGCAACCTCCTAGTCCTTAGTGGACTACCAGAAGGTGAAATAATTCATATCACTTCCACCCCTGATATTTTGCTTTTAACTTGGGTTGTGTTCCATTTCAATTTTGTTCCAGGATCAGCAACCAGCGTGTAAGGAGCCGCTCTGTTGCCTCACATGCTGACGCTGGGAAAACTATTGGAGGAACAAGGGTAACTGAAGCAGATAACGTTAACACCTCTATAGTTTAAGTAACCTATTTCAACTTATCTGTTTTATGGGATTAAAGCCATCCCATCAATGAGTACTCCCTGTATTTGCAGTTCTTGAAAGAAAAGGACACAGAACACCCTGAAAAATATCTCTCCCTAGGACCAGCAAGCTATCACCAGCATGGTTCAATTCTTGTCAAAAAGGGATACAATACACAGACTGAGCAAAAAGAGATATACCAATCATCTTTTTGATTTTGGGAACATCTTGTGAACATGAATATAAAAATTCTAGGGCACAGTTGAAAAAACACAAAGTTCAGAATCTTTTGTAAAAACAACAGGATCAGACACTTGCTAGTTTCTGATGAAATTCTGCCAAAAACAGAAAAAAAAAGAAGCAAAGGACAACTGGGACAACTGAACAAATTTTATTCTTTATGTTCTTATGGAAGCACTAGGAAGCAGAGGTATGTCACCACCACAGTCAGAAATCAAAGAAATCCCACTTAGGCAGCTAACATCTGTCAACTTTCTTCTCGGGAGGAGGAGAATGACAACCACATAGTTGTTTTGAGTGAGACTGAGTATTCTGGAAGAGCAAACAAACTAACCAGTCTCTGTCAGCACTTTTTTTTTTTTTTTTAAACGTATTTTCCCAGAAATCTGCATTTTTCCTCACGTGATGATTCTAGACAAAAAGATTTTCCTTGCAAGTGAAGACACTGACACAAATTTTTTTCCGTGCAAATCTGCACTGCAATATGAGTTCTGTAAATGAACTCACACTGAAGGAAAGGCAAGATTCCTTCTCAGTCACAGAGGCCAAACTCCATGAACAGCCTTCAGCCTGCCTTCCTCCACAACACACATAAGGAAGGCCACAGAAGCGGGAATGAAATCTCACCATAAGTGAAACTGAGCCTAATGAAAAAACATTCCTTACAATTGTTACATTTCAGTCTTAAGACCAGTTTCTTACTGGGGAGAAGGGATTCCCTATGAATTCTGACTGGCCATTCTGAAATCTTTTGCATAATACAAAAATGAAACTCATCAAACCTTCATCAGTAACTTGCACATATGCAAGTATCATGAGTCTATGTATGATTTATCAATGTAATAGTTTACAAAAACTAAATTCTCTGCAATCAAATTATCTGATCCCCCTTCCAATTACAAAGAACCATCAACAGTAAAGATGAAAACTATTAACTTTTGAAATTTAACATTAATTTTGGTTAACGCTTCAAAGGAGATGCCTGTAATACACAAGCAGCATCTCAAATTCCTTTTCCCGAGTACACTCAAGCAGGCCTGAAGTTTAAAATACATTCAAGACAGTTCAATTTACTCTATCTGTTTACTAAATCTAAAGCAGAAGTCTCAAATTTTTATTTTAAAATAAGGCATATAAATGAGGCTATTCAATTACCACGGAATCCGGATATAGTCTTTTGAGGCTTTCCAGGATCTCTGCTTTCATTTGCTGACGCCTTCCTTCATGGTAATCAATTTTGGCATTCTGCAGTTCACCAACTATTTTGTTCAATTCTTCATTCACTTCAGCCATTCGTATTGTTGAATTTTCAATTTCCTTAGTTAGCATTTCCTCTTGCTGTTTTTTCTCAGCTAACAATTCACTTCAAACAAAGCAAAAATAAGAAAGCAATTATTTTATTTATACAAGCTTTTGGTTGACAAAAATTGAAGTAATGCAATGGTCACAGATTATGAAAAAATCATTGAAGTCTTTTTGCATCTATAACAAGTCACTCTCTGAGTTGTATTCTATCTCGCATATGCTACTTTTAAGGTTTCAAAATGGAGTTCAAGTAACAGCTTATGCCTACATGTAATACTGAACAGCACTCTTTTATCCTTCATCAACAAAAGGCCTGCTGTCATAAAGCTAAGAAGGACTGAGAACCCTCATGCAAAATTATGACTTATTTTAAACACTTATAAAAGTCACTAAGGCTCTCCGATGCTCTCCTACAAACAACTAAAATCATCTTGCTTTGCAGCAGTCACAATTGGCCTCCTGCTCCCTGTCCAGGGCATAGCTTTGTTCTGTACACAGACAGGCACCGCTAAGCCAAAGCGCACATTACAGATGGGAAGAAAACACAGGTTGGAAGAGATGTCTTGAAATCACCTTCTCAGCCCTGTTTTGAGCAGGAGGCCAAACAAAGTTAGATCAGGCTGCATAACAAAGGGCTCACGTCGCCTATTTCACAACAAGTGAAAGGCAGAAGACAAAAGACAACAAGCAAGAATTGAGCTATGCTTCTAATACACAAAGTGGATATTTACTGGCTTCTAGAGCAGCACAACTACAGAACTACTCTATTCTCTGACTCAGAATTTGTACGTTAATAGCCCAGACCCCTAGTCTGCAGTGCCATGATCCTTATATTTGCACACCACAAGAAATGAGAAGCAATTATAAAACTGTTTCGAACAACATATGGCGGAGTCGTCATATATCTTTATTTTGTACTTTAGACAGCTAAAAGTAGCTGAAATATTAAAATCAAAGCAAAAGAACTATAAACCAGCTACATAAAAATATAAAATGCACAAGCAATCCAATTAGCTTTCAATTTTTTAAACATACGTGCATGTTTTGGTATACTCTTCCAACTTCTCTGCTCGTTTCTTATGCTCTTCTATCTGTTCTACAGTCTGTTTTATGCTTTCCTATACAATCACAAAGAGAATGCATTAAGAACCCACAGGTGAAAATGGTAATTTTATAGCTCTATATAAAACTCCTAATCCATAATGGCTACTAGTTGTATCTTTTCTTCTTTGTAACTATTTAGTGCTGAAGCAATAGCATCTCTTTTCCTTTAGCAGATAACAAATTGCACAACGAATAATAAAATAATTTTGCCTTACCAAGGACACTACTGTATTTTCATATTCAGCAACAGTTCAGAAAAAAGACTCCTCAGCATAAAGAACCATAACATCATCAACTGAAATATCTTCAAACAGTGTTAGTAAATTATGGGGGTTAAAACAATGTGTTTTTCTTTGTAAGATTATTTGAAGGATTTTCCCAAATAGAGGGACACATGAAAAAGTTGACACGGAGCTTACAAACTAACAAACTAATACAGAAGCATTATACCAGCAAATACAAACCAGCAATGAAACAAGTATTTTCAGTTACCCAAATCAAATAAAAACACATAACTATAACAAGTGAAAAAAAAATGATATTGTTACTTACACATTTTATTAAGCCTTAATTGAACTTCTGAAATCCTTGTGACCTATTACATTTCAAAATATTTGTTATATAAAGGAAATTTTAAGTCTATTGTGCTCTTTCTGCCCACTGCTTTCTTTTGAAGATCCGTAACTTTTTCTAGCAATGCACACTAATGAGGCCTGGATATCTATACTTAAAGGAGGTAAGAGGATTGTTAGATAAAACATAAAAATACACAGAATGAATGTGCGTCTAACTAAATTCCATTTTACTTTAATTGGAATTTCTTATTCTTAAAACTCTAAGCTGTTACTGAATTACAGAATAAGATAGGTTGTAAGGGACCTCTAGAGCTCATCTATTCCACCGGCCCATGCAAAGGAGGGCCAGCTAAATCAGATTGCTAATGGCCTTGTGTTATCAAGTTCTGAATAGCTCCAAGGATGGAAAGTCCACAGCTTCTTTGTGCACCTGCTCCAGTGTTTTGATTACCCTCAAGGTAAAAAGCTTTTCTAGTATCCATTCATAATTTCCTGGATTTCAAATTGCATCTGTTGTCTCCCATCCTGTCACTGTGCACCTCAAGAAAGGGTCTGGATCTATCTTCTTTGTACCCTCCCATGAGGTGGTTGCAGACAGTAATAAGGTTTCCCCTTTGCCTTTGCTTCTCCAGGCCGAGCAGACCCAGCTCTCTCAGCCTCTCCTCACCAGCCACGTGCTCCAGCCCTGAACAGCCTGGTGGCCCTCCACTGGTCTCACTCCAGTATGTCAGTACCTTTCTTATACTGGGGGAGCCCAAAACTAGACAGAGTGGCCATACAAATGCTGAATTAAGAGGAATAATCACTAGATGTCTCTTCTTCCTCAACAGTTACACATGCATAACGGGGTCAGATAACGCGCGCGTTTTATGAACTCTAAACAACCCTTACTTCCTTCTCAACACTAATACAGGATTTGCAGAGTTTTAGAAGCACAAGTTAAGGAAGAGAAACGTAACATATTTCACTTCAAGATACTAAACACATTCCTCTGGTAACTAGTCCTCCAAAAAGAAAAAGTAGTATCATATCAATAGCAAGTGGAAGTACAAGTACTAAATTAAATATGATGACAAGGATCACTTTGCATCTTCATAGCTATAAAGTAAAACACAGATTGTTCTGTAAAAGCAGCTTTGTATTTAGAAGAATGAGATGTTAGGACCTCTAGAACTGGTAACTTCTCATCTGATGATTTTTAAACTTTCTGAATACAGTCTCCTCCAAACCTTGACTCCATATCTAAACAGTAAAGAAACACATATTATCTCTCTGTAACTTCTTAGTAGGCGATAACAATGCAAGACTAGCATAGTTTGGAAAATACATGAACTTCTAATATGGCAAGGTTTCTAGGAAAAGATTAGTTAAATCTTCAACTGGGCTTTTCTGCTTTTTCTCCTTTCTGCTTCTGTCAGAAACCTCATGCAAACTGAACAATAAATTGGGAAACACTACTAAGAGAGAGCATCAGGCTTGGTGACCCAGGCACAGTGGAAAAAAGTAGGTATTTTATTGTTACAAAACAAGTGTGGATCTGAAAAGATAAAAGGAACCGGCAATGGTCTATATTCAGAATAAACAAAATACACATTCACTCTGATGTGCATTAGAAGACAGAATACCAAGAAGTTATTCAAGCTACACACTTATACAAAGAATCAACCTTAAAAACATCTGAGCAAATAAGTAGCTATGACCAAAATGAACCTTAAAGGGGTACACGAGGCATACAGATATGCCACAGGGGTAGGAAACTTCAGACAGAAAAACTAGTTACAGAAACAGGACCGAGTAGAAGCATATATTCCAAGTAACTACAAAATATTTGATGCCAAGCTTTCAAAAACACATCCTCAATGTGGGCACACACAACCATTTTCTGAACAAACTTCGAAGCGCTTTTGTTAAACCTGTTGCTATACGAAAACCGCACAAACACTTGAAATATAACACTTGTGTTCTGTTTACATCAAAGCATTTAATACACTTATATAGGCATTTATACCAGAGGAAGGATAGAGAAAAAGAACATTTTTCTCCTTAAAACAACATTCTAGCTTGATATAAATACCTCAATTTCTTTTTTCTTCCTCTGATGAAGTGTCATCCTCTCTTGATCTGCTTTTTGCTCCCAACGAAGTTTCTCTAACTGTTGGGTCAGTGTAGCTACTTTCTTTCTTGCTATTTCCTTTAGCTCTTTGTAGCGCTCCAACTGGACAAATAGTATGAAAAAAAAAAACCTGTACAACACACTCCACTTAGGAAGACTCATGTTATTATGTCTTCAACTAGTAATCATCTACCTTACCAAAAATCAGGATTCTGAAACCACCCAACTACCCACAAGACCTATCTAGCTACTAAATCTATTAGCCACTACATCTTACTAAAGAAGGATTCAACTCTTAAGACTTTCTGTCCACAATCTTGTTTCACGCTTCTAATGACTCTTATTTTTGAGGTAACTTTACAGTTTACTATATTTCACAGTAAACATTAGGGTTAACACTTAGTCGCTGCGTAACTCTAAAACAGTGCAAGTCTGGGTATTTGTAAATACAGCGTTCTTCATTTAGTACAGTATCCCTGCATTGTCAAAGAAAATTTTAATGTGAACATATCAAACAGCATTTTAAACAATCCTGCAAATTTACACTAATTTAAAAAAATGCACCCAAAGTGTACAGTATTAAGAGCCTCACGCTAAATGAGCAATAGGAAGGAGCTGCCTTGCAGGTTCTCCATTATTTGATCAGAAAGCATTTTAAGGGAGACAGCGGAGAAAAGAAGCTAGCACTTGGTTATAAAATGGTTTCTGGGCAAAGAGTTGCAAAGACTGTTTCTTCAATTGTGAACTTACTGTAAAATGATCAAGACTATCACTGAGTCCTTCCAGTTTTAAATTCTGACCCAAAAGAGATGGGATGTACAAAATGAAATCTCATCTGCATCTTTGTTGACTTTTTTTTTTTTTTAAAAGAAGATGAAGATGTATTTCTTTACCGCAATCCACAAGCCACTTCTCAAACATGAACCCTCCCAAATCCCCCAACACCCTATGTATTTTTGCTATCCTACTTCCTCCACCGTACCATCTAAACTCCCATTAAAAAGAAAAAAGGGGAGATAGAACAACCTAACCATGAATGTTTACACATAGCTGTGACAGTAGTCCACAGAGGATCAAAGCCCCTACGGCGGGGTGCACAGTTTTTAATGTATGTCCCTTTTCAATTTTCCATGAAACTCTTAGCTTCTTTTATACTAGAATTTCACTGCCTCCTCTAATAAAGCATCTTCTCCTATTGCTTAAAAAAGATGCACTTCTCATCCTAAAAGAGATGGCTTGCCATTTCCAATCTCACAACAGTAAATTTCCAAATCTCTGTGGGACGTAAACATATTTCCTAGAACTGTTCCACATTTTGAACTTCTGGGAGATAAAACCTTTTTCCCCCTCTCCCAGAAAGCAGATTACAGATTACTAGTAAAATAACGGTTCCTTTGTCATCAGTGGGGATTTCACAGACTTCACTAATAAACAATACTTTGTTTTTTGGCCTCTAGATTCACCTGACTTTCTTCCAGCTCAACACCTGCTGCTCTCAGCAACATCTTCTCTTCAGTTTTCTTCTCAAATGCTCTCCACGCCTTCTCAATATCAGACAATTCTATCTCCAGTTCTTTTATGTTTTGCTTTTCCTTATCACAGTACTTCTCCTTGTCCCTTAAAGATTTCTTAGACACGTCTACTTTCTTAATTTGGTAGGAAGTGTTTTCCTTTGCTTTTATATAGAGGGGCTTCTGCTGAATCAGAGATGCTTCTAGAGTCCTGAAACAAACAAACAAACAAAAACGCACTCAAAAGATAAGCAAACAAGCAAACAGCTGTCAATTCAGTACATTTCTGCAAGGTTACATACCCACAGGTGATGCATTTTTTTACAGTAACAATTGAAAATAGAAAGAAGGAAAACACTGTGAAATCTTATAATAAACAAGTTTTAAAAGTACTCATAGAATGAAATTATTGAAAGTACTGGAAAAGGAAAAAAAGAATCAATGCCTAGATATTACTTAAGTTAATTGCTAAAAGTTTACTTCCATAGTGTTGGGATTTTACCCACTTGCGTCATCAGGAAATATACTCTTAGCAAGCAATTCCCAACGCAGACTATGTGTTAACGCAGCTACCCGAGAACCTGATTGGAAAACTTACTTCATTTCTCTTTCTATGTGTTGCTGGTCTCTGTTTAGTACGCCAAGCGCTTTTTTCTTGGCTCTGAATTCATCTTCAGCTCTAGATAGGGAATCTTTCTTGAGACGTGCCTCCCTGTTCTTTTCATCCAAACTTTTTTTCAGAAAGTCAATCTTTTTTTCATTGTGATAAAGCTGGAAAAGCTGCAGCTGTATCCTCTGTTCGTTCAGTTCCTCGAGAAGCATCTGGTAATGCTCTGCCTACCAACATTAAAATTTTATTTGTAGTTTTAAAAAAGGGGTTTTACTGAACAGTAGTCTAATTTCAAGCCCAAAGTGATCTAAGTTCATGTACTGGCTTCTATAATTTCAGTAACATGCACTAATCATAAAACTCAGACATGTAAGTCAACCCATAAACTAACTCTTTTGGAAATCTATGCTGTCATTTAGTTAGTTGCTATTATATGTATTCCTCTATCCTTCTAAAAGGTTATAGATTCTACTGTATAGAAAAATATTAAATAAAGAAAGCAGAATATACTTGTTAGAAGTCCCTTATCTAAAATTCATAAAAGATACAAAATCTGAGATCTCTACACACAAAGAAAGTAATAACTCTGGGATTACCTCCTCTTTCTCTATCTTTGCTTGTTTGCGTTCTGCTGCAACATTTTTTTTCTTGTTATAATTAAATTGTGCATCTTCTTCCGCTTGCTGCATTTTTTTCTTTTTTCTCTCATACTCTTCAGCATGTTCCCATGAATTACTGATTTGTTCAAAAAGTTGAGTTCTTTCCTTTGGTTTCTTCATTGCAATTGACTCTACTGTTCCCTAAAACAAAATTGCCAAAATGCAACACGGCAGATTGTCACGTTGTATAATGATGAAATTCTTCTCAAGTGCATACAATGCATAGTTATTTCCTGATATTTTTTTAGTTAACAGAACTGACAGTTAATAGGTACAAGCCCAAGGAAAATTTCAGTAATGAAAGGAATACCAACTATCCACTACATGTAATTAATGATCCAACATCACCTTATAAAATAATTTTAAATCATTTTAAAACTTCAGATACTGACTATAAAAAACATCTTCAAAATCAGAATTCTATCTGAACAGATCAGTGAGCAGTATCAGAATGACAAAATTAAATCTCATTAGCCTCTTTAAAGGAACTAAAACTCATTTTCAATGCAAATAAAATTAACAAAAATCAGTATTTCAAGAGCGCATCTGCTGAAATCAATGGACTAGAAGATTCCATAACACAAAAGTTAATGGGAGTACAATTTCTGTCCATGCATTACCTGCTCAAACCTTGACCGACCTGAAGGAATTATCATTTTCAATAGCCTGCAGGAAATAAGTTTTGTGATCTTACTCTGTTCTTCTAGTGGCCAATGCCTTCATCATTAAAAAGTATTATCCCAACAAGAATCTATACATAGGGTTACTATAAAAGGAATGAAGTAGTTTTTCTTCGGGAATTTTAAGCTCACTGTTCTGTAAAGATAAAGAAGGTGATACTGTGAAGTATCTTCATCGTAAGCAATTGGCATTTTGGACCTGTATCTTTAAATACTTCTGAAGTAATAACCTAATAGGAATTTCAATTGCTAACTCTTGCTCTTTAACGATTTTTTGGATACATTTTTATGGCTCTTTCCTAATATGGGTGTTTTGAGATGAAATTACAATCTTTTCCCACTTTTAACACCCAGAGAAATTAAAACAATAAGCATTTAAAAATAAAGAAGCACATCATCTTATAAACTAAAGAACAGAAACAATTTATTCTGGATTAGCTTCTTTCTTACCAATGCACTCATGCTCACACAAAAAACCTTTTAATTTCCATTTCACAATCTGCAGCTCTTAGCCAAGGTCAGGATAAAACTTTGCCTGTTAGCTTGAAACTAGCTAAGGGCATTCCCTTGTCAGTCAAGTAGATAACTGTCCATTCCTATGAAATAATCTCAGAAGCTTTTAATGTTCTTTACCAAGTACCTTAAATGCTCACCTGAAAAATAAGACAATTCCTGGCTTTGACAAGTATGCCTATTTTTTCAAGCTCGGATATGTAAACAGATCGGCTGACAGGTTTATCATTAAAAATATATTCTGAACAACTACCTAAAGAAGACAAAAAGTAATTACTATAAAATGGAAAAATCATACTAAGTAGCTGATCAATGTTACTTAAAAAAAAAAAAAGTGTTTTTCAAATGACTATATAAATGACTTTTAAATACACTTCTTAGCTTATGGTATCGCAGCACACGTGTAATTCAGAACATGCACATAACATGATACCTCTGGTCTGACACAAGGACATGAGAGGAAGCAGGTCTGACCCTGCAGCCCGTGGGAAGGTGTTAGAGGGCGTGTAAGTAATGCACGGCTGTAACACAAAATCCATGGGAAAGCAGTCACTAGTTCTGCTCTCAACTAAGCAACTCCCTCAAGAAAAAAAAAAAAAAAACAATGAAAACCCTTGCTCATTTCAGCAGCTTCATCTTTCTGTATTAAAATTCTAGCTGCATATTTCCAAAAGATATCAGCAGCTGCTTAAGTGCCTGTGCCTGAAGCAAAAGTTTCAGAATGGAATACCCCAGTCTCCAGAGCCTACGCTATCCACACATTCCAACAGTGAAAAATCTATAGATGATCAAAGTACAGAGCAAAAACATATATTAATCATTTGGTTAACTTTTAACTTTGCCCATAGTATGCTTTATTTTTGAATTATAACACTGCTTAAAGACTTTAAAAAGTGTTTCAAGATTCAACAGGCTTAACCTACCTAATACCAAAAAATACTATGCATTTGAACTGAAAGCTAAAGATTCTCAGTCTCCATTTTTGTACATCAGACCACAGAAAACATGTGCGACAGAATCTACTACCTACCACGGATAACTCTTGAAAATGTTTTTTCTTCCCCATTTTCTTCACAATACACTATTTTTACACTTGCTGTAGAAGAGACCGGTTTTCCAACATGTGCTCCATGAATAAGTTCTCGAACATTTTTAACTCGCAAGTTAGATATCTTTTCACACAGCACAAAACTAACAGCATCCATTATGTTAGATTTGCCTAAAAAAAAGTTTTGTCATGGCAGAAAGGAAATGAGGAATTTGATTAACAATTAAGAGAACATACATGTAACTGGGAGTCTTTAACATTCCATTTATACATTATATATTCCCTTCAGGAAAAAATATTTCACACCGTAAAGAAATCTATTTCTAAGATATAATGTAAAACAGATAACCAGCCTGTTTGTAATAGAAACGATCACAAAACTGATTTGTTATTAAATCCCAGACTCAGTATGGTAGATCAGATTTCATATAGGCACGTCTAGAGGTTATTAAATAAACTGAACTGACAGCATCATAATCCTCACTTGATAGTTTCCTTTGTATAATGTAGTGAGTGAGGTCTGTTGCATAAACATCGCAACCTTAGAACTGTTCCACAAGAACTCGGGTTCTTATGAACACAAGTACCTTCCCAGATCCATACACCACAGCACTAAAGTTTTCTAATAATGCTATTTTATAAAAGTTCTCTTTATTGAACCCTTTTTCCTTTTTCCCCTTTTGATCTTTGGCATTTCTGATGACAGCTTAATTATTTTGTCTTCAACTTTCGTACTTTTGCAGTATTTTGTCTCATTCTGCAAAGAATCAGAAAAGGAAGACTACTCGGGGGGGAAATTAATTCAGAGATTACAGAATATTCACACTTTTTTTTTTTTTGATTCATCTATATAATTTATTCAGATTTAACTGGAGAAGTACCTGGAAAAATAACCACAATTCTGAGACTTCCCAATATGGGGCAGTTAGGATGGAACAGGATGATACACAATATGACAATAATGCTAACTGACTGTAGCTAGCTATTTCCATTCATGTATCTCATTAGATTAGAAAAGTGAAGAAACAGGATCTAAATCATTAACAGATTGTGTAACTAAGCCCAAACACTAAGCTCATCCTTGAGGCTCTTCCTTGGGACAGCCCCTAACTCCCATCCCATTGTTCTTTGGCAACTAAAAGAAAAATCACATTTGTTGAACGAAGCCTTCATTAGAAGTGAATCAGTTTTTAATCAAAGTTCCAGCACCCAGAGCATGACAATGCTGAGTTACATCAACAAGAGAAGGCTCTTTGGCCTAAACTACAATATCCAAAGTAGCTAGCATTCCAAAGCTGCTTCATCTCCCCCCCCCACAGGCATTTACGTTTAAGGCAAGGACTACACATTCACTCAAGAAGCAGCTTTCCACTACTACAGTTTACAACCCAGCATATTAAAGTGAAACCATCTTTATGTAACTTTAACAAGCTGAGCTACAAACTGGGGTGGCCAAAAAGTGGTGGGCTGTTTTCAAACTGCTCATTCTACAGGGCTAGGAAAATAAAGGGTAAAACCGGGAACGGAAATTTCTTCAGCCACACCACTTCAGCCTTCTGTGCTGGAAGATCAATACCGTCAGTTAAAGAAGCAATGTAGATCAGGAACATGCAAAACTTTGTTTGTGCTACCATCCCCTCAGGTGCCTGTGAACTGATTTCAACAAGGCCTATGAGAGTCTTCAGTCCCCCTCAGTCAAGCTTTGCAACTCTACTCAGCAGACAAGCTGTCTCCATCCATTCAGTACAGCCATGATAGCCTTCTCCTTCACCTGAGTGGCTGCGCCTGGGCAGCTACTGCTTCCTCCTTGTTAGGCCAGTGGTTTTCACAGAAAGGACCTGGTAGGCCCCAAAACTGAGATACAGGCTGGCAGGGCACCAGAAACTTCAATCCCAGCAGCTACAGAAGAGAAGCAGAGCCCGCAGCTGCTCGCTGTTCCCTCCCACCTATATCCTTAGCCTGCTACCTGATCCGTTGGGCCCAATGATGCAGTTGAACCTCATGAAGGGACCGATACCCTGCAGCCCCCGCCACGACTTGAAATCC